CCTTCCACTCCATCCTGCCTGGACTCTCTTCTTCCATCACCTTACCACACTCCCCGCTTTTCTGACATCCGACCTGAAGTCAATTCAATTTCAATTCAGTTTATTTATATAGTGCCAAGTCACAGAAGAAGTCATCTCAGGGCAGTTTACAAAAACATTCACATACGTTAAAAGCCAATTAGTAAAGTCATCTGTCTAATAAGGAAGCCAGCAGATTGCATTGATTCTTAACTTTGTAGCAGTCTCCCATCGTGAGCAAGCACAAAGACAACAGTGGGAAGGAAAAACTCCCTCCTAACAGTAAGAAACCTCCAGCAGAAGCAGACTCAGGATGAGCGGCCATCTGCTTCAATCAGATAAAAATATTTTTTCAAGATATTCAGAATTTTATTCTGGTTGCATCAATAAGAAATAGTGTCAAAACACTCATATAAATCATTAAGAAGCCTGGTTTTAAACCAATAAATATAAAATTGGTTGTGATTCACTATAAAATATTGCTTCTATAGTCAATAAATTGAAAAGCTCACAATCTGAAGATAAAGGTAGTTAACTGGAGTGTTATGTTCAGGAGGTCCCTAGTTTTGACAACTATTCAGTGTCTCCCAACATTAAGGTGCGTAAATGCCACTGTGCATCCACCATGGTGAGCTCCTTTGCTCTTCAGCCAGTGTGCTGGAAGTCATCTCTCCTGCTCTTTAGTCAAGTGAGCATCTTGTTTTTGAGCTTTGAGCATTTGGTCCCACTTGCTGACAGTGCTAGACTCTGAATTTACTGTAATCCCTCAATGCACTTCAGGCAGGCCTCTGAGTGGAGCACCCTTTGTGTCCTCTGCTCTTTGCAGCTTCACTGTTCCCCAAGCTTCGCTTCCATTCACACAAATGTACTCTGTTTTGGTTATGGCTGACGACATTCCTCATCTTTCAAGTGCATAACTCCTCCTCTACAAGTTCATTATAGTTCATGGGGATTCCAGCCTGAGCTGTGAGTCTGTCTATCACCAGAACAAACAAGAAGGGTTTCAGAGATGATTCTTAACCTTGCAGATCTACTGAAACTATTTATATTAAACTTTACTTATCTGTGTCTGAGAAAAGTTTTTTTTTTTTAATCCTTTACAACGCTAATGGGCAATGTGGTTCCTATGAACAGCATCAGATTGACTTGTTAAGAGCATATCTTGACTGACATTGTGCACAACTTTCCATTACAAGGATTCCAGGAGGCACCAAAATGCTCTTGAGGATTTTTCTGCAGATAATAATGGTTGATATCAAAAAGGATGTGGTGATGTAAACTCATGCACAACCATGACAGCCAGTGAACATATAAATACATAAACTACTCCCATGTCACACACATTTTCCATCTTTCCAGTTGTTTGGAGAGACTCATGAAGTCTCTGCAGAAATCGTCTAATTGAGACTCAGTCTACTGTTAATAATTCAAGACCTCTGGAGATGTTGGTGTTAAAACACTAACCAATCTTGAAATAGACTGAACCATAAACATGACACCTCTTACGTACACAGAACAATTAAAGTAGAGTATAAGGTCTCAAAAACACAAACACACCCTGTGGACAAGCAGGGTTTAATTTAAAAGATGTGTGAAGAGAACATGTGTAGCAAACGTCTAGCATTATTTGAAATTCTATGTTGTCTTCCATGCTAGAGTTTTAAGACAAGCTGCTCTTATTTTAAAAATACTGTAATGGTGTTTAAATCTTTCAGGTCAAATCTTAAAAATAATGTTTTGTGGGACTGCATCCATGCAATATTATGAGATGGCAGCCAGTTTGTTAACGCATGGAGAATGACTCAATATTATCTCACCATTCTAGCTCAATATCTTATATCGCAATAGCTTAGTATCATATAGCAGGATTTCTGGAATCGTTGAGTTCTGGCTTATGGACAAATTCGGAAGACATCGGCAGCCGATCTGGCAATTCTGAGGCTGCCTGCCATGTGTGAAGGAAGGTGCCACGCTTCGACCACTCAGACTCAGATGCTTTGTGAGCTAAGCCGTAAGCTGGACGAGATTTCTGAGCATTGGAGACCACTTTCGGCTTCTGGAACTCGCTGGCATGAAGGATTTGACCTTGGGGAAGGCTACGAACATGGCCCGGTGGAATGACCACAAAATTTGGCTGTTTGTATTCATCATTGTGAAGTACCAGCAGAACTTTTTGAAGGCAGACAAAAAAAATAAATAAATAAAACCGCTTTTGTCCCAAAACAATTGCTGTAATATGGCTTCCTTGCTTGGCCTTGAATAGGCCAGCTATCTCAAATTTCTCCTGGAGGTTATGTGAATAATGACGCTCTGCTGCCCCCACCCCCTCCAAACCCCCCTCTCCTGATGATATCTGTCGGTCTTATCAGAACTGAGCCACTGATAGACACTGTACCATCTTATCAGAACTATGGAACTTTCTGGCAGTGTTCACAGACAACTCCCCACCTTTGGTGACCTCATCATGCATAAATGTATTGTGATGTCATTGTATGTTGCTGTTTATGTTGCAAGGTTGTTTTTTTGTTTGTTTGTTTTTTTTCAGCTTTCACAATGTGCCCCAGCCAGAACATGGTGTGAAAGTAATGAACGGATGTATAGATTTACGGATGGATGCCTTTCCGGTCTTTCCATTTTCAAATAAATTTGTCATATTTTCTTCATGGACAAGTGTGATTTGTATTGTATCAAATAATAAATACTAAAAGATCATTCCTTGTCATGTTTTAGTTTTGTTTATTTCATGAGTTTATGATTATGTGTGGATTACTTATGTTGTGAACTTTTGTTTGGAGCAAAGTTACACTGTAATCATAACTTTATTGTTGAAAACAAAATGGTCATCCTCATATTTCATCCATTGTTCTACTGTCTGATAGAAAATATGCACAGTGAGAATTTACAAGCAAACAGGCAGGTGCACGCTCGCAAAAACACATTTTGAAGGCTTTTACTTGCATTTACTTGCTACGCCAAAGTCATCACATCCACATCTGGAGGTGGAAATTATTTATTCCATTTCCATAAAGATGAGCAGAGAGTTATTTTAGTTCGCTCTTCCAGTTTGAAGCTAATGAATGGGATTGAAAATATGCTGCTCCCATCTTCACAAACAACTCCAACACCAGCGTACCAAGTGGCACAGCTATCCTCTCCAGGACTAAAATAAAAAAATAATAAAAATAATAAAATAAAAAGTGAAATATTCACATTTTTTCAGTGGAGTGCAGGAATAAGCAAATTCATATTCTGTTCTATTTATTTTTCTCCCTCCCCTTATTGTGGAGGTTTAGGAGCATGGACAGGAGCAAGCAGCTACTACTTAACGCTAAATGGTATAATTTGTTATTTGTGGGTGTCGATGAATTAGTGTTCCTTGTTGGTGTGATGTTTTCTATTACACATGAAGGCGTCCATTTCTATGATTATCTTTTGGCTCAGTCACCTGAATGAGGGAGTAAGTTCAAAGACTAATTCACATGAGAGGGATTTTTATTTCAAGTTGTTTGCGTACCACCGTTCTGATGAAAAAAATTACATTTCATTGTTTTTAGTAATTAAAATACACTTTTAAAAATCCTAAAGATAACACTGCATTAAAAAAATCATTCAGTACTTCATTTCTGTCTACTAAATTTTGACATTAATATAGTGAAAATTGTTGGGGGTGTTTTTTGTCACGCAGAGCTAAAATCTCCACTAACACTTAAAGAAAAACAAAACAAATCTTTAACTAATTTTACTTTTAAGATCATCACAGAGGTCAAATTTGTTCTTAAAAGGGCCGTTTTCTAGTCATGTGGCTTTTGAAAATCAAGATTATCCCCTTAAATTACCTTTCAGTTTGAGACATTTTAATGTAAAGGCTGTATTTAGACACATTTTGAACGTTCAATTAATCAGTTTTTAATTAGCAACAGTAAGAGAACTGCGCTTAAAATGAGCATTTTAGTGAAGCTGATTCCCTTAGAAGTAAAAATGGGCAGAGGTTCACCAATCTGCAAAAAGTGCATCTAAACAAACAATTTCAAAAATAATGTTCTTAAATAAAAAAGTAGGAAGACTGAATATTTTAATATGTGTTGTTTATAACATCATCAAATCATAGTTTAGTTTAAAATTTAAATCCAAACAAATTATTTTTTTATTAAGGTTGTAAATGTATTTGTTATATTTGCCTAACAAAGTGCACACAATTAGTGTTAACAGTAGGAGAGATGGGTGGAGCAGAAACAAGACAAATTGTTAAATATTTCCGTATTCCTTTTATATTCGCGAGGACACTTTAGTACTATAGTTGTGTGCCTGTTAGTCAAATAAATAATTGCAAAGTGAAAATTAATTTGAATTAATTTATCTCATAAATATCCATTCATTCATGTCAGACTTTATTTTTAAAATACTTTAATATTTTGTTGATTCTTATGTTTGACTTGTAAATGAAAACAAACCACAACAACAAAAGATCACGAGTCCTATATAAAACCCAGCAGATGGCATACAAATATATGCAAAATCTGTAGATATATACCTTTTTTTTTTTACGTTGTTGGTTTGTCATGAGTGAGAATGGTTGGAATTTTAACATTCTGCTTTCTCATTGAATTTAATGTATTCTGGTAGCACATCTAGCTGTAATATGACACCTGCTTTTTAAATCAATTTAACAACTCATCATAATAACAGTTGGCAGTACCCGGCCTTTCTTGAACCTGTGAGTCAGTAACTTTGCCACAGCAGCAAATATTTCTGCCTAAAAAGCACTTAGTGTGCATTTGACAAATTAAATGGGACATAAACACACCAGCATCAGACAGAATTGATGCATTCCACAATGGCATAGATATGGACACACTGATCTGTTAGTTTATCTTCACTTGTCTACCCAAAGGTGGAGTGGCCATCTTAGAAAATGTATGGAATCAGACAAGAAAAGGGGCATCTAAGTACCTGTAGAAGACAACAGGTAGTAAAGCTCTCACCTGTGGATGATGTGCTTGCTGCAGAGGTATCCCAGAGCCAGGGCTAATTCACAGATGTACAGCTTCACTGTGCTCTCCGAAAAGTGAACATTCTGCTGGAGGTGGTAGCGCAGGTCTCCACCCAGGAGCAAGTCCACCACCATAAACATGTCTTCTTCATCTTGAAAGGAATACCTGAACAAGAAGAAAAACAAATGTCTATGAAGACAAATTTATTTGACCAAGGTGAAACAAAGGAAATAGGTGCAAATGTGAGAGTTTCAAAAAAGGAGCCAAGTGTTGGGTTCAAATAAAAGAAAGTGGAAATTGTATTAGAAAAAAAAAATTATATGACAAAGTTGAAAATACCTATTTTACAATAATAGTTGATAGAGTTAAATGTGTAAAATAAAGATGGTCTAGTTAATAGGCAAATTTTTTTTTTTGCTTTGTTTTGTTTTTTGTTTTGTTTTTTTGAATGTCCAGAGGACCAGATTGAACTTTTTTGGGTACCAAATGACTGTTCCATGAGTGAACTCTAAAACCCACAACTTTAAAAGTCTCCTAGAGTTTTGTCCCAGAGCAGACTGGTCCCCTCTGAACTGAGCCACGGCAAAGACAATAACCATTACTTTGTATTCAAGGATAACGAGCTCAGAAAGCCTTGAATATGTTCTAAAGAATCTTGTAGTCTGAAGAGAGAAGCGGTTAGAGTACATTAACACATTAACAAACCCAGAAGAGACATCTGAGCAACATTCCACTTCTTTAATTCTAATGGTTTAAATAACCTGATTTTGATATTCAGATTTAGTTTACACAGTGTCACCATGTATTTCAAAGTTAAAATATTACATTTTGACTGTAATGTAGTACAAAGACCTGTATGTTTTGAAAAACAGATGACACAATCATCTGTCTTATATTTCAGTTTCTGAAGGTCAAATGAGGAAAGGCAGCACATGGAATCATAATCTCTTTCATGATTACATCAGTGGTAAACAGATTATCTGTCTTGTATGTGCATAACGTTGCTGGGCCCGTTAATATCTATCCTATCTTCAGCAGTAGTATGAAACTTGAAATTACTTTGCTGAGTCCTGACTATAGAAAGTTTTTCTACTCAGATAATCCCTGTTTCTTAACCTGGGTATTTATCTACATGTCTAGCAACTTTTTTATGTAATTTTCAGAAATATTTAAATTCTGTACTCTTTTTTTTGGCATTATGAAATATGTAGTAGTAGTTGTCTTCACCCAGAGCACCAGAAGAAAAGTGCAAATGAAGCATCAAATGCAGAAGGCAACCCATAAACAAAAAAAGCATTAATAACAAAAAGAAAAGTGGATGATGAACAATTATTGATTAACTGATTATATTGATAAAATGTTGTGTGCTCTTAAAGAGACAGAGCAATTTGCAATTGTAATTTTCATACAGTGGCATTTCTTTGCCATTTTTTATTAATAGCCTACTTTCATTGTGCTTACTCTAAATTATACTTATACTTACATAGCAACGTTCTAAAAGTTGTAAACATTTCAGATTGTTTTTGTACACTCGTTTTAAGATGAGTCCACTGTTGTCATCACTCTTTGCTAAAATCAGGTCTCTCTTGTAAATGAGTCCCCGAGGCTCAATGGGATTAACCTGTCTAAATAAAGGTCGAATGAAAGACGAGCGTATGTTTCTGTTCCACATTTTCAAATGACTTGTGGTCGACTTTTCAGTCTGCTTTTATTCCAAACATGCGCTGAACAGTTATCCTAAATTACTGCAAATGGAAAAAGTACCAAAAATAGACAGAGTCAAAACATTTGGCAAAACATAGTCTTTTTTTACCTACAGCCACCAAAAAAAGAAAGAAAGAAAAATAATGTATTGTTTTCTGTGGTCAAATTTATTTAAATCTGAAAATACAACTTTTCACTATTCATCCATTTATTTATTATTCGTTCATTCATTCATTATTGACACTCAAAATAAACAAAATAATTGTTTAATAATCTCTGCACATATTTTTTTAAAATGTGAAACATCCATCCATCCATTATCTTTATCGGCTTCTTCCATTTTGGGTCACGGGGATCGCCGGTGCCCATGTCCAGCAATCACTGTGCGAGGAGCAGGGGACACCCTGGACATGTCTCCAGTCCATCACAGGGACACGTAGAGACAAACGAGACAAACAATAATTCACTCTCTCACTCACACCTAGGGACAATTCAGAGTTACCAATCAGCCTAACATGCATGTTTTTGGTATGTGGAAGGAAACCGGAGTACCTGGAGAAAATCCACGCATGCACGGAGAGAACATGCAAACTCCACCCAGAAAGGCCCTGGACAGGGATTTGAACGGGCAACCTTCTTGCTGAGAGGCAGCAGCTCTACCAGCTGCGCCACCGTGCTGCCCTACATGTGAAACAATTCAATTTCAATTCAGTTCAGTTTATCTACACTGTATAGCGCCAAGTCACAACAGAAGTCATCCCAGGGCACTGAACAGAGACATTCTTAAACATAAAAAGCAAGTTAATAACACTGATTATCTGAGGAGCAGACTGCTTTGACTTTAACTCCATCACAGACTCTCTTCTTGAGCAAGCATGAAGGCGACAGTGGAAAGAAAAAACTCCCTCGTGAGGAAGAAACCTTTGGCAGAACCAGGCTCAGGACAAGTGGCCATTTGCTTCTACCGGCTGGGTTTGAGAGGAACAGGAAGGAGGAACAGATACACAATGGCAGGTCAAGAATCACATGTTAAATAGAAATAATATTAAATGCAAATTATTCATTTGTAACAATTCAATATAAGAAATTAGGTAAATTTCTCATCCAGTACTCTAAAAACTATGGCAGCATACAAGCCAACCCTAACTATAGGATTTATCAGAAAGGAAAGTCTTAAAACTGGACAATGTGTCAGCATCATGGACAGAAACTGGAAGTTGGTTCCACAAGAGAGGAGCCTGATAACTGAAAGATCTTCCTCCCATTCTACTTTTGGAAACTCTAGGAAACACAAGTAAGCCTGCAGTTTGACAGCAAAGTGCTCTGTTAGGAAAATATGGGACAATAAGATATGTTAATATAAGATGGAGCTAGGTTGTTGAGAGCTTTGTAGGTTAGAAGTAAGATTTTGAATTCTATTCTGGATTTGACAGAAAGCCAATGGGGAGAAGCTAAAACTGGAGAGATATGATCTCTTCTACTAACTCCAGTTAAGACTCTGGCAGCAGCATTTTGGATTAACTGACAACTTTTTAAAGAAATATTTGGACACCCAGATAATAAACCATTGCAATAAAAAAATTAACGTGGTGCACATTTAGTGTCCTTCCCTTATCCTCTCTTTGACCTAAGTTATCAAAAAAGTGCTTGAAAAAGTCCAGATTTCAGCTTGTCTTGAGCATTTACTTGTTTGACTCGGTGTCACATGCACAAGTTCATATCTTGCATACAATCTGAAAACTATCCTGCAGCTTCCCTCTCTTCCATCTTTGTGGTGACAGTGTAAGGCTGATGTGGTTTGGGCTGACTGAAACACCATCATCTTGGCTCAGACTCAATGTTCAGTGACCAAGAAGAGAGTTTTTTGTCACGTTGGAAAACTCTTCTCCTCTGGGACGTTCACAGATAAACTGAATGTGGTGGTTTTTTTCTGCACTGGTTGGATGAGGATTGATTGATTGAACTGACTCCAAACTGTCTGCTGAGGCTCATATAATGCTGAGACCACATAACCTTTAATTGCCAGTGGCCTCTGAATGTGACTGTTTGTGAGGTGCCTGTCCTAAAGAGGGAAACACATTTGACAAAGTGCTTCCCAATCAAAAAAATACAAGCATGTTTATTTTTTCTTTCCGGTAAATGTCAAATATTTTAATACATCCTAAAACTTTAAGTATGAACGTTTCAAAGTGGCAAAGACATAATCAGAGCATCGTGAATTTAAATAAGGCACTCAACCACAAAACAAATGGAAATCAAGCAAAAAAAAAAAAAACTGTTTAAAGAAGCAAATTATATAAACCAATCTCATCCACTTTAACATGCAATACAGTACAAATGAAAGATGTTATAAACTACACCAATAAGTATTATTTACTTAGCATTTTTTTGTAAAAGATAAATGCTTACTCTATATAATAACTCATTTAATCTTGGACTGATCAAAATAGCACGTAGTTACAGATGGATCATGGTGGTTTTGAAGTTTTGAAGCCTAAAAAGTATTTAAACAAACACGCAAGAACATTTTAGAAAACAATTTCTGCAAAAATGACAATAGATTTAGCATCAACAACTTTAGAGCAGCTAAATTTGTAATAAACTGTCCCGAGTACTTGTTTTTTTACACACACAATTAACAAAATAATAAACTTTCTATAGTTATGTTAATTTTCTATTTTTCATTTGCCTTAAAATTTGACTTGGTCCAACTTTAGATGCTCGTCCTCTGGGACAAGTAAAGTTTCTGCACAAAATATTTCATTTCTTTGGTTTCATTAGCATTTTGTAGCTGCAATGAACTGAAAAACGGCAATGTTTCCGTGGTTTAATGATAAGGGAACATTTTTTTCCCCTAAGAAAATAATATTTTGCAATTTTAGATGACCTTAGTAAATTCTGCCCCCAAAAAAACTAAAATCAGTCTGTCCGTGCACTCAGCTCTCAGGATCATCATACCATATTTTTCGGACTATAAGGCACAATATCAATGAACGGGTCTGTTTTCATACATAAGTATACAAATACAAATATTCTATCTCACTGAATATTACTTAAAATAACATTAAGCAATAAAGCATGGATACAGGGGACAAAACATCCTTGAATACAATACTGTAAGTTACACACACAAAATAAAGTAAAGCGAAACGCTACAAACCAAAACAAGAAAAACAACATGGCTGTGTGGGGTTTAAAGAATTAGCTACACAACAGCTGGCGTTTGCTGGATGGGTGCCACTTTACTTTTCTCTTAATCTTTTGTTAAACTGATTTTTCCTCTCATCCTCCATTTTTCAACCTCTCATTCAGTCTCTCTCTCACACACACACATACACACACACACTCAGTGTAAATACCTCTAACCCAGCAGAGTTAGTTAAGTTTGTAAAGGATCCAAGAAGCTGCTGTCGCACGTGTTTAGGAGACACGAAGTGGACTTTATTGGCTCTTTTTCTTGG